GGGGGTCAGGCACAGGCATGGGTCAGTCAGCAAGGGAGCTGGCAGAAGGGGGTGCATGTTAGGGAGGGTAAGAAGCAAGGGATGGGGGTCTGGCTCCTCACCTCTGCTGCTGCTTTCTCTGCTGCAGCAGTGCTGGGAGGCAAATTTAGGATGACTTTCCACTAATAAAACTCCATAGGTGGAAACATATCACAAACATATTATTTTCCATGTATACACTAACTAGTGGGGGGAGTTGTCCTAAATTTGAAGTCCTTTTGGATTTGAGTAAATATGGTAGGCTCCATTCCAATTAATTATTTTCAAAAATGAAAAATGATGGGAGAAAATTCCTAGTTATAATCCCTTCAATAATCCCCAAACCTGCTAATTTTTTTCACAGGCTGCAGAACTCATAAGATTTGTTTATTTGTTTTCATAAATATATGAACTAGAATAGACCTAGAACATTATCTACCACATAAATATGTCATTACTAAAGTGGTACTGTAAAAAACAACTATGTATCAAATATTGGGTTCAAGCCAGTTTCAAGGGGCAGAGAGATTTCTGAGACAAATCTCACAAATTTCCAATCAGAGGTATTCTCTCAAAACTGTAGTTCTTTCCCTGGGGTGCCCCAAGAGTCTTTGAAAGGTACCACACAATACTGGCACTGTTAGGTGTGAAAAAACCCACATATAATTCACAAGATAAACCCCGGCATTTCAAACAGGAAAGCATAGTGTCAGGAACAGTGTGACCTGTTGTGTTCTTTCTGAGTTCTCTTCAACAGAAAAATTGTTATATTTTTCTGTAAATCAAAAAAATGAGTGAAAGCTAGTTAAGAGTTGCATTTTCTGAAGGATGTCTTGCATCTAACGGTCCTAAACCAGTGGTATTCAACCACCAGCCAGCAAAGCCATGTCATAGAGCCCATGGGGCTCCCCATAAGTCTGAAAATTTGGCATCGGGGAGCAAGAGCAGCATCAATTGTTCCCAGAGTTACAGGAAGTAAAGCTGCCACTGCTCTCCCACCACCAAATTTCTGGAGCTCTGGGCAGCTCCGCAATCTGGATGACATGACTGTGCACTTCAGCTGGTGCTGGTATGTGGTCACATGATAGCCAGATCTGGTGCACAGGTTCATACCCACTGGCTGACCCTGAATGTGGGATCCAGCTTGCAAACTGGCTCTGTGCTACTCATCCAGCCTGCTGGGTTAGAGGGGCTGAGTACCACTGTCCTAAACACTCTGAAATGACTTCAAATCCTCACTACTGTTGACCCATCCACACATGCTGTATTACATAGCTGTCATCCACATAGGAACCTTATTTGCAGTGTGATGCTCCCAAGATGGGTAGTTGCTGGTAGCGAGGACTGAACCTGTGATCTATGGATCTAAAAATACAGGGCCTCTACTGCCTGAGCTAATCAAGCATACCCTAACCACCTAGGGGCCATCACATACACAAACCTTCTTATGGCCCAGGCAGGATTATAATCCTTCCCAGCCTAATAGGCAAGGATATATCTGTTCCATGACTGCCCTGGGTCTTGCAAGGAACAGTAATTGAAGGAACAAGAAGAAACTTAACAAAGATGGCAATCAAAAAGAAGAAAGAAGACATGCTTTAGTGTCTATAGCAGAGGCAACAAAGGTGCAAAGAAGGGATTCTGACAAAATACCACAATGCAAAATTTCTAAAAAACAGCAGTTGACAAATTTTAGACACATTACCAAAGGCAGTAAAATCCATGTCTTCCAAGTTTTCCAAAATATTTTCAATTGAAGCAGTAAACCGTTTAAAAGTTGAAGAATCCATCATTTCTGGTGGGACAAAAGCAAAGCATATGTAGCTATGCTATATACAAAATATATCATAAAAACTGAAGAATGAAAACAAATGGAAACCTAAAAAACTACTTACCTTCAGGGGTTAATTTAGGTTCATAAGCTTTCCTTTTCTTTTGCTTTTCTTTTTTCTTCATTTTTCTAGCCACTAATAAACAAATAAAGAGTTAGCAAAGAAATGCACAAATACTTTTGTTAAGTTTCTCGAAGTGTACTGAAAAGGTGGATAAATACTTGTTTAAAATTAAATACACTGTTTAGACTGGCCTATTGACATTTTCTACGTTTATATTAGAAGAAGCATACAAAATTTCTAATTATATTTAGACTACAACTTAACCTGTGAGTAGTGAAAGAGGAATTTGGAGGAAAATACTTTAACACAGATATGTTACCTTCACTGAGGCTAGGAGGAGGAGAATAATCATCCATGTCCGAGTCTTCTGGACTGCGATTGCGATAGCGACTACCACCAGAAGTCCTTCGTCCTTCGTGATAATGACCACTCCTCCTATGATCACCCGAACTTCTTCTATCACGCTCTTCGTACTCCCAGGCTTTATCATCATCTCTGTCCTTTTTATGTCTTTTCCGAGAAGCTAGAAATAATGCGTGTTCTCATTGAGAATCGTGACGTTCCACATTTTTTACTTGTGAGAATGGCTAGAAATTGTTACTATGTTTACAAAAAGTAAGCAAAATTCTACTATATAATTATTACATATGCAAGTTTTCATTATAGACCCATAATAATAAAATGTCACACTTGAATTGTGTTTTTTAAATAATTTTTTGAACAACATATCCATTCCTAAATTTGGCAAAGCTAGGTAACTAAGTCCCGTTTTTGAAAATGATCTAGGCATTTGCAATCTTCCAACTTGAGAACTTCTCACAATACCTAATGCTGAAAATAACAGCATCCTGGTAAGTGCCCTTTATTTCACCCGACTGGAGGAACCAATGTGTGTTTTTTTCTGAGAAACGAATCTCATGATGATTTAACATCCTCAGAACTTTCTGAATCTAATTTGTTCAGCTTACTAGTTTGCATGCATTTTTTCTGGCTTTTGCATATAAGTTTGCTAAATTTGTCCCCTGGATATGCATGATTAAAATAAAAAGTTCTACAGGTAAAATTCTGCCTTTGGTTACATCAGTGTATACTGACTTATCTTGTTTTCATTTACATTACTGAACTTGTAAGAATATGTGCACTAACAAGTAATTAATGAATCATTTTGTCAAAGCTACTCTGAGCCTAAAAGAGGCCAAGCACCAACAGAAAAGAATACAATATGTCACTCATTCACAGTTGCTTTAGCTCTGTAAGGCTAATAAGTGGAATTCAGGAACCTCCATACTGGATCAGGTTACTGGTCCATTTAGTCCTACATACTGTCTAACAGTACCAGTACCAGAGACTTCAGAGAAAAATGCAAAAAAGCCGTGGTTTAAGTTGATTTAAACCTAAAGCACAAACTACTTTCTTAAGCAAGAACTCTGAAATACTATCACACGGTGTATGAAAAAAAAAGTTTTGAAGTTCTTACTGTTTAAATTCACTGAATGACTCTTTGTTCACCTTTAACAAGACTGAGAACAGTCTACCTGCTCTACACCATTCATTCTTTCACACACTTTTATCATACCCCCTCTAACGCAACTACTTTGTAAGGAAAATCCCTATTTTCTATTTCTTTCTCCTAATAGACTTTTCCCACATTGTTGATCAATCTTTTCAATTTTTTTCTGAACCATCGTAAGATCTGCAATACCTTTTTTTTTCTTTTTTTTTTTTTTATGGATTAACCAGAACCATAGATGGTATTCTTAGAAAAAGCTACACCACTGCTTTATACAGCTTTCTTGGTATAAATCTTCTTATTGTTTATGCAACTTATCTTATTGTAGGGCCAGTCTGGGTTTTGGGACTGGGTCACACTGCATGTGATGCATGGGGGCAGGGCACATTACATGCAGCGCAAAGGGCCAGGGTTGGTTTAGTGTTAGGATAGGCCTTGTGTGCTAGATCTATGGGCCCTGATAAGTTTAACACCTTCAATTTAGTTAATTTAAATCTCTGGAGTTCTTTGGTTCTCTCTCACTAACAAATAATGTTGTATCAATTATTATAATTTTGTTACTTTATTAATTACCTATTGCTCCCTGTTCCAGATTATCAATATAATAAACAATAAGCCTTGTAATATGGAACTTTAAGGCAAGTCACTTTTAACCCTACGCCTTAAGGAAGATTAATAGTCACATGGCATGCCTTAAGGTTCCATATTCCATGACTCAACTAGGAATTATCAGTGTCTTAAAGAATGGAACAAAATATTGCTTGTGTTTCCACTGGGAGGTGAAAACCCTGTCCAATCTGGTATTATATATGCTCAAAGGTGTTCCTTTTGGATCCCAGAGACAGTCCTTATTTATACAAGACTTTTGCATAACCTTCTAAGGAGAATATGTGAAGCTTGACCACTAGCTCAATTTCTCTCAATACTTAGGGAATTTTAAACACCACCTAAGATTTGCATCTAATTGAGATTCATAGAAAGTTTTGAAGTAGAAAGGCTCCAAACTTTTAAAAATGATTATTTTGTAGGAGCTGCCCTTGCATTTTTGGACAAATAATACAAACACTTCCCAGGTAGTACTGTATTTATGACCGTTCTAAGAAGATAATCAAGGAAAACTGATTTGCTGAGAAAGAGGATATTATTTTTAAACACTTATTTAAAAATACATCCCACAATTCAAGAACTGAACTCATGGACCACCAGGGATACAAAGCAATACAGATATTACCGGAACCAAGGAACCATGCCTTCTGGTAGCTTACAGAAGTTTTCTGACACTGACAGTTCATCTGATATCAGGTTAAAACTGATTACCCACCTTGCCTTTCCTCCTAATTCAGAATGGATTTCAGTGGTTGCCATCTTGAAAACTGTTTAGCTAGAAGTAATTATAGTTTGTCCAAGTAATAACTCATAATTAGAAGAGGCAGAACTAGACTACATGGGTCTGAAAATACTCTTAAAAAGGAGCTCATGAATTTCCATTTCTTGTTTTATTGTATACCTAAACAGGAACGTTAGGAGAGATTTTCAGCTTTAAATTCTGCATGTTGTGACACAATGGCAGATGCTTGGGCTGCTGAAGTCCAGACAACTGACTGATCCATCTAACCTACATGAACCTTTCCAAAGCTCCAGGAAAACGGGAACATTTTGTAATCCAGATTGTCAGACATGGTGTTGTCATAAGAAATGTATAAATTCAGTTTTAGATGTTATATAGCATGATTGTCCAACACTAGGCCTTGGAAATAAATTACATATTTACTAAAATACAAGATTTTCCTATGTTCCGTCTGTGTCTCCCTCTCTGTCCTCCCCTCCTCCCCACCCCAAACAGCATGGTGGGGGAGGAGAGGAGTCCTTCATCTAATGTTCACATACAAGTAAGTAAACGGTCTCTCATTAAACTGCTGCCAAAAGCAGCATGTACTCAGTAACGGAAGTCAACTATGAAGTTGATTAAATGCAGCTAACACTGAGCATGACTATAAAACACATGGCCCATATCGGGCAAACATACCACAGGGAACCCACCACAAAGACAGTTTACTGTAGCCCATCTAAAAGAGTTGCATGGTAATACCCATTACACACAGCCTCCCGCAGGGCTGACTTTTTGATGTCCTAGTGAGCCATTACACTGAATACATTTTACTTCCTCTTCATTCCCACAGCTCAGCTGCACCTTTCTTTCACATTTCCAATGATTCCTGTTTCTTCATTAGCCTTCAATGTCTGGCAAACATCACCAAATGGGAAGTCAAACAGTTCACCAAGAATTCCTGCCACCCCCACTGTCAGCCTGGAGCATGTTATTAGTGTGGCCCCACCCTCCATGAGGTGGCTCGACCATGTTGTCCTGTGCCTCATCTCCATATACATTTTTGGTGGATTGGAGGAGTCAGAACAAAAATACCTGGTTCCCGTCATGAGTAGGTAACTAATTAGCACATGGATCCTCTGTGGGGGGTATCTGGAGTACACACACATACTGAGCAGTCTTGAGCTATGGGGTCACCATAAACACTGCTGAGTCTGCTGGGACCCAGCCCAATGAACTATATGGTAAATCATTAGCCTTGAGCCTTTTGTCTTTGAACTAATCATTCATGCTTTATATTATTTAAAAATAGGTAAAAAGGGTTGCCTAAAATTGTGACTGGATGAGCTAACCCTATGGGTAGTTATAGTAATGTTACGCAAATTACTAGAGATATTTTTATTTCAAGGTCAGTGTTTTCAAATAGCCCCTCACTTACATGTACTCAGGGAAAGCAGGATCTGACAGTAAGGAAGAGGGGAAAAGGGCTGCAGCAGAAGGAAGTTGGGTGATGGCAGATGGCAAGGGGGTCACCTGATCCCCCAGATTTAATTCTTCCTGCTGTAGTAGTTGAAGCGGGACAAATTCAAAGCATCCCTACAATAATTAGATTCTATTCTTGAAAATTACAACAAATTTATACATTTCCATTATAGAACCTAATTATTGGGGGCTGCCTGATATTCAAGGAAATATGGTATGCATATGAGTTAATCAAGGTGACTAATTAGGTGCATACCTAATTAAATTATTTTTTCAATACTGTTTGCATAGAATGCTAATCAGGTAGTTTCTAAACTTTTTATGTTTTTTCTTTACTCTAACGCTCATGCAATACAATTAGAAAACATGCATGGGGAGAAGCCTAGATAGCTGCCTATTATATCTGACTTCTAAACAGAGACTTAATTTTTCTTTTAAAAAAGTTATCAGGACTTCAAAGTTACCTTGTTTCAACATTATTTAGACTACCTAGCTAAGAAATCTGTTGACAAGAGCAAAGTGTTACCCTCCTTAGCAGTAATAATAGAACAACGTATTACTTACATTCAAAAGCTTCTTCACTGTCATTGTCTTCATCAGAACTGATTTCAGCATATTTTGGTTTTTCATTAACTGTGCTACGCTTGCGTTTGTTCATTTTCACACGTTCACAAAGTGGCATGGTGGATTCAATTTCTGCCAGGAGCTCAGGAGGCAACTCCTTTAACACTGACTGATCTATGCTACCTATTAATGAAGATCAAGAAGAGTAAATGTACATGAGAAGATAACAGCGAGGGCCCAAATTGCAGTCCTTTTCCAGGACAAATTATAAACAGAATACCCATTTAATATTCAACACTTAAATATAGTTGAAAGTACCTGTTTAGTTTTACATTTTGTCCATGATGTAAATTAAAATTAACATATTGTATCTTTTACATAATCACCTTTAACGTAATACAAAATTTACCAGTATACAAGCAATACAAATTCAGCCAGTGACTTCGCTTTGTAAAAAAAAGATATTCCTTCTCTATTCCCATCACCCAATTCAGTCTTACTTTGGTTGAAACTCAGTATTTCCAGTCATGTTTAAAAAAAAAAAAATCAACATAGATTTAACATGGATCATCAGAATAATTTCTCTTTATTCTGCAATATAACTTTATGCCAGTTCAGACACAAGAGGACTACTACTCTGAATCAGTAAGTAGGGGAAAGAACAATCAAAATGTCTACTGCTGTTTCCTTAAATGAGGGGGAAAGATGTTTTGACTGACCCTCTTCAATTGTTTCCCATCTACACAGTTTGGAAATAAAACCTTCTGCAGATATTACAAATTTCATTTTTGTTGATTTATCTTGTCACTTGCATTTTATTTATTTTTCACAACGATTCTAAACACAGGTTCATAATTTTCTGCAAATATTTTTTTTTAGTAGCAGGCTGAAAATTAGCAACATAGTAGCAACATATTGTTATCATCTCACATTCTGGTCACTTTCCTTTTTTTCCCTATAAAGATTATATCACCTGGCATTTTTCTACTAGGAGCCAAACATACAACTCTGAAGGTCAGCCACACTGACAGTTAAAGAGTAATTTTTATTCTTTAGTATGCTAAAGATCCTCACAGCAGATATTGTTTTCCACAAAAAGGTAACTATCGTAGCCATTCTGTTTTACTCCTGTACAAATAGAACACATGATTCCGTAGTCAGAAGACTCATTTTGAAGAATATTAAAGACTTATTTTATATAAATACACACACACCTAAAAGAAACCAGCTTCTGGGTATTACAAATATTCTAACAACATACACAACATTCAGACAGTTAGTAGTTTTAAAATGTACTTCACAAACTGTCCAGCTCCCGATTAAAAAAAGCTATTTTTCTTTAATGGCTTATATTTCTTAGAAAGGAATCTAGAAAACAGATTTTGATCACCAACTTCAATAAATTAAAAAAAATATATTTAGAAAAATGCTGGCCGGTAGTTCTAACTGGTTTCCTCCATTCCCTACATCTGAAGATGGCAACTATAAACAGTGAAGTCAAGTAGCAGCAAACTTTGCTTGAGTTCTGAAGTCCTTCAATATTTTGAGTTATTAATTTTATGTAAATGATTGTTTTACCAGTATTCTATTTCAAATCTCTTTGTTTTAAAATTCTTCTTCTTGCGTCTCTACACCACATTCAACCATTTTGTTACACGTGCTTGTGCTAGTTTATTGTACTTTGTAAGGTCTTTCATTGTACCCCATCTGTTACAGGGGTCATAACACAAGGATTCACATTGTAACCCATCAAGTACTACCTGGCAATACCTGCAAATTCTGCATGGAGATATTTGTATCCTGAAACTGATAACAAGACAGATTTTCTGTTTTTTTTAAAGAACATGTAGAACATGATTTATATTGTTACAGCAAGAGATTTTCCGCACAACATGTTATTTGTTTAGAACTTAAGCACTAGACTAAAATGCTCATTTAAGGCACACTCCTTGCCTTAAAGGGTTATAGGTCTTGAGCTTGTGGCTGCCTACACAAGTTTAAAAAAAAAACACCCCTAAAACCACACTTTACCAGAAGGAGCAGTGCATTATTTTGACACAGCTCTGCAGCTTTTGTATAGATCAGGCACTTCAGCAGGGCTTTTTAGTACTTTTATCTAACAGCTGATTCAATCAGCTATCAGATAAAAGCGCCAAAAAAGCCCTACTGAAGCACGCAATCTATACAGACGATGGGAAAACCAGGTCCAACTACTGCAATGCCTCTTCCGGGCATGCACTGGGCTCGGTGTCAGGTTTTTGGGAGTTTTTTTTGTCTGTAAGCAGCCCATATTTCTAGACATGTAAAAAACTTTATATATCATGTGTGTAAAGTAGGACTTTTATTGAAGTCAACCGATCTTCACACAGGGTATGAAGGTGTTGGAGGACTGAGTTCTAAATAAAGGTTTAACAAAAAGCAGCTACAAGAAGATGAGGATGAAGATGAAGAACGGGATTAGGGAAAATAGGGAACAAACAGCAGCAAGATCATATGGTCGCCCAAAAGCAAATCCATAAGCAGCTGCTTTTCATAGCTCAATCTAAAGTCTTTGCCCATTCATTTGTATTACTAGCATTTGAAATGATAATGGCAGACCGCTTAAGAGTGTGAACCAGAAACAGCAATGGATCAGTAGTGATCTTTAGAAATAGCCTACATACCTTGGCAAGAATTCCATCACCTGAAATACATATTTAACTTATAAAGCACATTGTAATTGTTTTTATTTTAAAATATAACGTTCAGATTTTCAAGATGTCTTGAAAAGAATTTACAGAAGAGGGTTTTCACCTACTTTTACGTCTCATGTGTAAGGGTGGCCTCATTTCAAAAAAACATAAATTACCAGACTTTTTCTTTCTTTTCTTAAAAAGAAAAAAAGGTGGGGATGGAAGGGAAGAGAAGGGGATTAAAATTTTTACTCTGGCCCTGTTTTTGGGGATGACCATCTCCCTTGTGAAGGGAGATGCTAAATCTTCAAAAATAAATCAATCTACTCAGCATAATCTTAACATTAAAGTTAAAAACAACTAAAAATAGTTTAAATTTTTCAGTTTAAAATGTCAACTTCCATTTCCTTCTTAACTATTCAGTTTTCAAATCTTTTGCAATGTTGCAGTTTAATTCTTGAATAGATGGATCAACCAGGTGAAATTATGCTAGAACACAAGTTCAATTCCCCATTTTTATTAAAAAAAAAGTTCAGGCCTTTATTCAGTATAAAGCAGAAAAAAAAAGACAAGGACTTTAAAAGAAAAAAACCTGTATGAGAGAGAGAAAGTGGATATGGTGATGGAATGGTAAGGGATCCCATACTGAATTTAAACTCTGGAAATTAGTTTAGTGTTTATCTGTTTTAGCTACCAATGTCTTCCTCTTTGTTTGAGAATGAGAAAATATCACAAGTAAAACTATTCACACCTCAGTAAAATCCTCTTCCACTGCTGAAGTGTGAGAAATGCTTGAACTTTATTATGCAATAAAGCTTTCCAAAAATGAGTTTATTAATAGAGATGAAGATGGTGTTTGAGGGTAGGGAAGGAAGCAGAACTGCATGGCACATCTACTGTTTCTAAAGCTATCACTAGGTGGGGTTAACATGCTGCAAGAAAAGACAAAAATGGTATATGCAGTACCCATCTAAAGAGGATGGGACAGAAAGATAAATACAGGTAAGTAGTCTGCTGTCAAACAAGCAGACACACCCGCTACCTGTTAGTTAAATGTGGCTAAGAAGCAGAGATCCTGGTTTTCTTTGATAAAAAAATCCAAAATTCTTTGATTAAAAAGAAATCCACATTTTTCCGTGATTAAAACAAAACACCATGTTAATCCAAAAAATATATAGTGGCATTTTGTTTTAATTACAAAAAAGTGTGGATTTTGGAGGGGTTTTTAAAACAGAATTTTGGATTTTTTTTTTTTTAGTCAGAGAAAACCAGGGTCCCTGCTAATAAGATAAACCACCAATGGATGTAATCAATGAATCTCTAGGAAGGCTCAGTCTTACATTGCTTCTGTTAAGGAGCAGGTGTATAGATGCCTGAAAACCTCAGGGTTACCCCTTGAGTCCTTAAGAACACAATGCTTTACATGTCTCATGACAGAACACATCGCAGTCCCAACAGGAAGGGGTAACTGATTGCTATTTGATTGCTATTTGTATTTTCTTAGGCATTCCAAGGGAAATTAACTTGATTTTTATGCACAGTTATGAAAAAGTCATATAACTGGAGGTTGTGCCTGCTGCATGCAGAGGTACAACCTGCATTCAGAGTTACTGCATTCAGTCACAACCTGACCCTCAGCAATGACACACTTGTAGTCCCTATTCAAGTTCCATGGCACTACTGTTTTTTTGTTATTCATGTTCCAATAAATAGTTATTTTGCAATCCTCATTTGCAAGTCAAGGGGGAAATTTTTCCTGCTATACTTCTGATTTCTTAGCAGTCTTCCCCAACAGTTTAGCAAGCAAAACAATTTGGCGCATAACTGTGAAAAACATTGAGAAGTCTGAGAGATTTGCCATGAACTATCTTGACAATACTCTAAAGCAGATGCAATTTTCCTTTTCTGGTGCTAGAATGCCTCCGGTTATCTGCAGTGGAAGCCACCTCATCAGGAGAGGAGAGACAAATGAGAGCACAGAAGACTCAGTAAGATGACCCATCTTTGGCCCTCACAGCAACGTTTACTGATGAAGAATTTAAAGCACTTGAAGCAGTATAATGAGATATTTCTGTCCCTGGAAAGACAATCAGAACAAGGGCACATCAAAATCTCCAACAAAAAGATACCTAGACAAGATTCTGTTTCCTCTTTTCCTTTAAGACTGATTTACACAGTATGTATAGACATTCACACTCTCAGAAAAAACTGTCCTGGAAGTGACTTAACCCTAGGTTGTTACCAAGTTATTTTTCTCCTGGAATAGCCATTTTCTGGGAGAAAAAGCCTGAATATCTATAGCGGTTTCTCTTGGGAGAGCTGGAACTCTCCCAGGAGAAACAATGTACACAGCCACAGATATCTATCCATGATATGCCCTTGACCCAAAGCATATATACACACAGGTTTCCCTCACTTTATGCGGGTGCTGTACATGCAAATTCGCTTTCATGCAGTGACCCTTTTTATACCAAAAATTAATTATATGCAAGGTAAATTCACTCATATGAG